CACTAGATTAGGAATGTGAAGGTCTGAAGTTAAAAACCAGCCTGGTTATTTCCCAGGAGTCAGGCCCTTTCCCCTGAAAGCTGCTCTGAGTGATCGAAAGTTCTATTTGGCAATGTCTCTTTCCTTGCCATTTTCACTAGCTGGAACATGACATCCCATGCTGTGGCCCATGGCTAGTTCCTTCCATTCTGGTCTGCTTGAAAATTATCTTTTAAAAGGAGGGTTCCTGGAGCACCCTAGGTAAAGTAGCTCTTCCACATCCCAGAACCTTTTAACCCATTGGCTTTGAGTTAATCATTGGCATTATTTGTTGTCTAAGATCACCTTATTGATTCGCTTGCTTATCATCTGACTCTAGACTATAAACTTTATCAATTGCATGAACTTCATGAAGTCAAGGACTTTATCTGTCTTATTTTATGTCAGTGCCTAGAAAATACCCAGAATAAATTACACACTAGATTTAAAAAAGAGACAAACACCAAAATGACCATTGGAGACATCTGCACTGAACATTGTCTGGAGCCAAAAATAAAATAAAATAACACAATACTCTTTGGCAGCTCTGACAAAAAATGTTAAGCTGATCTCCACTGCTGGTATTTTCATGAAAAGGGGTGGAGCCCTAAAAGCAAAAGAGATTTTTAGTATTTGCTCTCTGTTTTGGAATTTGATTTCCAACAAGATGGTATTATTTGGGTCTAGAGTATTTTTTGCTTAAGAAACTTAAATTAATAGGTATTTTGGCTGCCACAAAAGGGTCCTGGCTTCTCTTTTTTAACACATCAATATCCAGAAAAAAAAAAAGACTTTGATGTCCAGAAGAGGGATGTCTTCTTGAGACTCTGAAATTTGAGATGTCAGAAGTACTTCTCCTCCACAATTGTTGGAAAAAGGAGCACATTTATTCTCTAGGGGAACTGAAGCATAATGAAATGCAATCTAAGAACATGCAAACTTATTATCTACAAGGATGGTTGAATGGTTCCAATCAAATGGAGGATAGAAAAAGGGGCTTTATATTGGGTTTTTGGGAAAATGACTCCACAGCTATATTTAGCATCAATAATGCCTGCAAATACCTGTAACAGTGGCAGGCTGTGGCTTGTTTATAACATAATGAATATATTTACTCTTTGAAATTTATCATGAGGGTGAGAAAAAAACACCCCAAAGTACTCCTGCAAATGGAAGAAAGATGTCTTACTGAGTATGATAAGAGAAAGGTTGTTGCTTGTCTAAGAGATAGGTCGGTATTGTTTTGCAATTGGTCCTTCAGAAGGCCGCCTATGTGCCAGAGACTGGATCCTGTGACTTTGACGAAGTCAATTTTTTTCTTTATTTCTCCCACTCTTGGACATTGCTAAGAAGCACAGCTATAGCACCATTAACATTAGGAATCCTTTCATGCGAATATTTTTTTCCACATCTCTAAGGATAGACATCCTGGCACCAGGGAGATGGCCTTTTTAAAAATATTAATCTGATGTCACTTGCTACTTAAAACTTACCGACAAATTCCCACTGCTTTTAGGGTAAAAATAAAACTCTGTCTGTGGCCTACAGCACCCTGTAAGAGCCCTGGCTCTGGGCAATTGTTCAGACTCATTTTGTGCCTCAGGGACTTTGCACATGCTTTGTCTGTGCCTGAAATCCATCTTCCTTCATCTTTTTCTGTGTGGTTACACGATCCCTGTCCCTCAGATCACAGCCCGATGTCAAAACTCATAGGTTGCTTCCCTGACATTCTAGACTAGGCCTGTCTTCTTTGTTCAACACTTACAATTTCCTGAAACTTGTTTTTTTTCAGTGAGTGTTAACTGTCACTCTCACTAGATTATTAGGTAGAAATCATTGCTATTTGGCTCCACTAACTGCCATGGCATATAGTAGATATTCAATGAATATATAGTGTAAAAATGAATACGTGAATGAATGAAGCTGGGTGATATACTCCATCCTTGCATACATTTTCTAAATAATATGCTAAAAACATAAATAAAGTTTGTTCCCTTATTATAACTAATAACAAAAAAGGTCAGTTTTCACTTTGTTTCATATTGATTATGAGGTAGTTAGATGAAGATAAAGGTTAAGTATGAGGGGTTTGTAATCATATAGGTCTAAATTCAAAACCTGGTTCCACCATTTACTAGTTGTATGATCACGGAAAAATTACTTAAAATTCCTGTGTTTGTTTCCACATCTGTAAAATAGGTCAGACCTGGATTTCAAGGCCTGATTCATCAATTAGTAATTGTGTAACTTGGTTCAAGTTAATAATCTCTTTAAGCTTAAGGCTCTGTAACTTATAAAAAAAAACGAGACTAATAATATCTGTCTATCTCTCAGGGTTATTAGGAAAATTAATACATATATAATTTAAGTATACATATATATAATTTTCTTATAAACATATGAAAGGAGCTCAGTCCGTTTAGAGTAAAACAATAAAAGGAAATTAAAACAATAGTGTGTCATTTTTTTTATCTCTCAGAATATCAAATGTAAAAAAATTGAGCAATGCATGAAATTGGTAACAATGTAGACAAAGAGGTTTCTTTTTTTACACATTGTTGGTGAAGTAACTTTGGAAGGCACTTTGACAATATCTATCAAAATTGGAAATGCAAATAAAATTTGACCTAGAAATTTATTCCTCTGGGAATTCATTGTATAGGTATAACCATGCTCACAAAGGCGGCAATGCAGCATTGTGAGAGGGAAATACTGGAAACAATAAAATTTTCATCGACAGGACTAGTTTAAAAAGTTGTGGAATTGCTACAATGAAATACTATATGATCATTAATGTACTGGTAGAGAATTATCTCTAAAATAAATTATTTGATTTTAAAAAAGGCAGCTTAAAGAACAATTTAAATTGTGTTAAAAAAAACACAGTATACAAGCATTAAATTGTTTAAATGGGCAAAACAAACTTTTCTACAAACTTACTGGAAGCTGTAGTTTGCCTCACAGGGAAAGAAATGAGGGTATCTAGCTAGGGTGAAAGTTATTTTTCATTGTATACACTTTTTTTTTAATAACTGAAAGTGCATATATTTATCAATTTGAAATTAATTTAAAAGAGCAGAGACTGTGAATTAAAATTTGTAGCTACTGCTAGTATGATTGTTCTTTCTCTTTTTATTATTAGATGTTAAAGTGAGGCTCCCACAGGGAGCCCTGGGCTGCTCCAACATGAAGGACTAGGCCAGCGGGGTGGCATTGTGGTTGCTGTTGGAGGCCACACAGGTGCCAGAGGGGTGACAGAGAAGGCAAACAGGCTGACCCAACAACTGGGCGGTGGGTTTAGAGAAGCACAGTGGTTTTTAGGTACCCTAAGAGGTAAATAGAAAGCAAACCTTACAAAAAGCATCACTTTACTATGTAGTTATTGAACCCTCATAACTACCTCAAAAATAAGTACTATGCCCATTTAATAGATGAGCCAATAGAGGTTCAGTAGCCTGTGCGAAGTCACACACTAGACACTGGTGAAGGCAGTATCAGACTGTGGGAGCCTTACTCCGGAGGCATGCTTTAGGCGTGATCACGTGCTTCAGGCCTGCGTCTAATATATTGTCTCTGTTTAGGGATTCTACGGTATTTTTTATTCAGTTTTGGACTATTCATACCTTTGCTCAAAATAAACACTTTTTATTAGAAATGCAGGTCCACTCTGTGCCAATGACTTTATTGGAAGCTGTGTTTGGTGATTTCTAGAAGCTCCTTTACTCTCAGTTTGTGGTTCCTCTGATTTCACCTGCTCTCCCTGGAGAAAAGACCGCCTGATGGAATCACGACATGGGGGCCCTCCGAGTGCTCTGCTACGGCCACGGGCATTTTCAATTAGCAGGACAGCTCAAGGGAAAAAGCACATCTGGGCACAACTCCAGACCTTCCAGACATGGAACTGCATGGACAGTAAACACGGTTTTCTCTTAAGGACTGCTTTTACATTGCTGATCAATGTTGTCAGAATATCACCAAATGCTGTGGTACCGGACTGTGCCCCAAATAAACACATTTTGGTTAATCTCTTTGGTACTGATGGAGGAGGGAAGGTTAGAACAGAGACAGAACATATTCAGCCAAGTGCCTCTCAGATGCAAGTGTATCTGGTTTCAGTACATACTGGAAGTTTTTTTGAAGGAACTGTCCCTTCTAGCAAAACTCTCCAATTGTAGAATACTCTGAATTCTAAAACATTTGGAAAGGGACTAAGCAGTAATTAATTTAATTTGTCCAACTAGGGACAATCCATTAGTAAATGGGTATTTTTCTTTCGAAATTATTTTTTAATAAATGTATTTAAAGGCTTGAGATATTTTCAACCACTCTACTGCAATATAATGGTTAATTTTAAGAGTTCTGTGAGTTTGATTTGTATTTAAGACTTTTACAATCTATATATAGGTTGGTCTTTAATAACCATTTATACATTGCTTCTTTTTATATAGGTCATGTATTCTCCTGGGAGAGTAACAAGATTAGAAATAACAAATACAGTACAGAATAAATTAAAGTGCTTCAAACTGCATTATATAATTTCAGAAAATTGGCTTCACACTGAAACCTTTAAATGAGGAAACCGAACGATTTAAGGAAAAAGAAAACCTCTAATATACGCATTTGAATAGCTATTGTTTAGCAAGTTTTATCCTCAGTAGTGTGGTTAGCGGTATCTGTTCCCGGTGCTCTATTAATGTGGCAGTTCATTTGGGTTAATATGGATAAAATTATTATTATTTTTTCTTTATTTAAAAATGTTGGCTTCATTCTCCTTGAAGATGAATAACATTTATTAGTCAAAATGTCAAAGGAGGATTGTAAAAGTAATTGTATTTTTATATATAATTCTCCAAACTCTTGTATACAAAATGTTCTTATTACACTCAGTGCAATAAATTCAGAGGCTGTTATGGGACAGGAGATAGCAAAATTGGGGCCAATACTTTTCTAATTACTTAGGATAATAAAAAGTGGGGCTTGGTTTTTCTCTCTCCACTAAATATAGGAGATACGATGCTCTAGAGAGTGTATTATTCTGACTGGTTTTGTTTGTTTCTGTGAAGTTTAGCATTGCTCTCTTTGTACCGAGTCCTCAGGCCTTTTTCAATTTTTCTATTCGTGCATTAAAGGCCTCTTCCTGTATTTGCAGCTTTTCGTTTATCTCGGTCTGTGAAGACAATCATAAAAAAGTGGTTATGATGGAGCTATCTTTTGCTGCACATTGTCTTTGTGGTTTTGACATACTATAGTGCCTAAAGACAGACATTATCCCTCACACACCTTCCTGTTTTGCAGACATAGCTGTGTTTCAGCCTGTAGTGATGTGATAACACTTTATCATATTTCTCTGCACATTCCCAATGTATAGCATGTCTGCTATGAACAGGAAGTGGTATTTGGACAGCCATTTTTCACATAGCCTTGTGTTAGAAGATAGGATAATTTATCTGTATTTTCAGACAGACTTTACCAAAAAGCACTGAGTCAGAATAACTGCTCTGGGCTCAGTTGCTGTAATGTTGTTGGTCTCCCCACCCCTTTGCAATAAATGTTTTTGTCTCCTGTGTCATACATTCTAAATGGGATCCAGAAAGCTTCTGTTGTGAAATAACACCACAAATAATCTTACAATTAGAACAATTTTCATAATTAAAAGTATTCATCAAACAATGTAACTCCTGGAATTATGCCACTCTGTAGTCTAGTTTTGGTAGAAAAAAGTAAGTGATTGCTGACAGGTCTTAGTGTTTGCTGCAGCTGTGATAGCATTTAGCTTCTGGCTGTGACGATCTGTGGACTAACATTGCTACCTGCACAATTTCAGAAATATTTTCACATTAACTGGATGTAGTAGCTCTGGAAATGTCTTCTCTTTTTCATGATGGGTAATAAAATTATGTATAGAGAAACCAGTGGCGGGTGATGTGGTAAAACTGGTGTTTTTGTTTAGATGATGTTTAAAACCATCTACAAGTGTGTGCAGAGTAGTTTATACGTATATGTTAATAAATAATTTGAAGTTTAGAATGTTCATGTCTATAACATAATTTGAAGTTTTCAGGGTAACTGTATTTTGAGAAACTCTTATTATTTTAATTTATATAGCAGGAATTTTAAAAATCAAATACTGTTTTGGTCCAGATATAACTTTTCATTCTTATTTATTTCTTTAATACTATAATAGATAGTTTTGAATGTACATCCTCGTTGCTCTATCTGATGAGATTTTGTTTTACCTTCACAGTAAGAATTGATATGTTTGAAAAGATTGCATTGGTTATAAATAATTCTGGATTCTTGTTTGAGTACCAGTTTTCTTTCTTTTTTTGGGGGGGGCTCAAGTTTATCAAGCCTTGGATCAAACTTTGTCCTCTGATTTTTCATTTTTTCCTTTCTTGGTGGTTGGGTGCAGGAGGCAAGGAGGGATGGACATGTTGTTCCAGGTTACAAAGAAACTGTCCTTTTTTAGGAATCTCCAATCCCTCAGGCACGATTATTCTGGTAGAGCTGAAAAGAGCACACTGGTCTAGGAGCACGGGAGACCTAGGGATTAGTTTAGCCATGTAGCCTTGGGCAAGACACTTAACCACCTAGGGTCTTAGTTCTTACCTGAAATAGTAAGCAGTTAAAAATTAAGTATTAAGTTAATATTACATGCTAGTTTTTAAGCTAGTAATTCCAACACCTAGTTTTGTGATATATTCACCAATGTTATATTTCAGTGATACGATGTTGTGAAATGTTTTAAAAATATGCTTTACAAGGATTTAAGAACACAGCATCCCATGCCATGGATTGCCTATACCAAGAAATAACATTTGGGATAGTTGTCTTTAAAGGACTTGGTGTTATTTGTCATTTTTGTTTTGATAACATTTGGTAAGACTGTTTTAATAGCTGGGGGTGGGAGGAAGTGAAAGTGAAATTTTTATGTAGGCTTTTAAAAATTACTGAGTCTTTCTGTAGCCTATTAGTGAAATATGAAATGTGAAGGCCTTAATTTTGTACAATAAACGCTTGTTTGTGTTCTATATATATAATATTTCATTTATTAACCCATTGTCTTACCATCAAACACTTATGCTAGGCTAGAGCACATGTAAAGGCAAATAAAAGTAATAGGATACTTTCCTAGTATTATTTTGAAACTGCCAATGTAGAGAAACAGTGAACTATTTTAATAAAAGCAAAGAAGAATTAGATAAAAAAAAGTTACTCCTATTTCTTTATGTTAGACCATATAGGGATAAAATGGTTGGAAGTAATAATCTGGTCACAGTTCCAAAGGCCTGGGAAGCACTGCTCTCCCTAAACTGACTCTTCCCACTTTCAGTTAGAGTCATGTGCCACATAAGGATGTTTTGGTCCCAGACAGACCATGTATATGACAGTGGCCCCATTAAGATTATAGTGGAGCTGAAAAATTCCTATTGCCTAGTGACGTCATAGCCATTGTAACGTCCCAGCATAGCACATTACTCATGCGTTTGTGGCGATGCTGGTGTAAACAGACATATTGTGCTACCAATCATATGCAAATACAGCACATAACGATTACGTACAATGCATACATACTTACTGAATAAACAAATAAGTTACAACTATGTAGTATATATTTAATATACTACACTTTTTAGCATGACTTGAGAGTGCACCCTTTCTACTTATAAAAAGAAAGTATGCTGTGTTATGCAGGAGGCAGACTCATACATCTCATGTTTACTGTGTCTCTTGATTGCATCATTCTCCCTTGTGCTTCATTTAATCTCGTGCTGTTTTGCACAGTAACATGTTGTATAGGCTTATAGTCTAAGAACAATAGGCTATATCACATAGTGCTGGGGTGTATAGGCTCTGTGATGCTTGATGTTAGGTACACTCTGTGATGTTTGCACAATATTGCCTAATGACACATTTCTCAGAACGTATCTCTGTTATTAAGCAGTGCCAGACTGTAATGCGTCCTATGCCCATTAATAATCTCATTTCTTTTCAATTGAGGACAGATGTACTACCATCTTCCGGCTTGTTTCACTGTCTTGCCAGGGTTTTTTCACATTCACCTGAAGACCTTCCTGGCATTTCACTGAAACGGAATTCATCTAGGCCAAGTGTTGGCTTTGGGGAGCAGAATTCATGAAGGTAAGGTGCACATCTAGCGGGGTGGTGGTGTCCTGACAGAGGGTGGTTAGGGTTAAGACCTCTAGATCAGCACTTCAGACACAACCAGCAGAGCAGGGTGAAAACACTCCTTGTCTGGTCAAGAACACCCTGTCGTTAGTCTACCATCTCTCCTTGTTACTCCCTAGAACTCTGCTGAACAGACAACCTATCCCACAACAACTAGGACTGGGGATGTTCTGTGTTCTTGTAGGAAGAATGGGAAACATTTGGCCTAGGTTCAGTAGCCTCTCAACGGTCACCACCTTGAGGTGATCTCACTCTCAGGTTTTCTAACCTGGAAATTCAAGTTGATCTAAAAATACCGGTAGTCCCAAGATGGCAAACTTCCCTCAAGGTTTTCATTTTATTTTACCCTGTTGCTTAGGGCCAACAGCCAACATTTAACAGCAAGAATCCAGTGTTAGCATTCATATTTTTCTGAAATGTAATTCTTTAAATATATTAAAGTTTGCTCCATTGGGTATAATCTTTTATTATACAATTCAGGGCCAAAATAATTTCATTTTGAATGTATCTTTAAAATTAAAATAACTAAACTACAGAACCTTAAAATGTTTTCTCTATTCGGTATAATTTTAATTAACATCTCAGAGCCAAGATAACTTCAATCTTAATAAATCTCTAAAACCATAAAGTGAGTCAATGGGAAAGTAAGTGGATTAGTGTAAAAAAATGTAAGGATTCACACTGCATTTTTAGAAATTTCGGAATTATATAAAGTGAAATATGCCTCTAACCACACTGGAGAAGGAGCTCTGAAAAAAACTACTTAAAACATGATCTCTCTACTGCCTTTTCCTCCCCAAAATATAATAACAGTATGATTTTTAAATAGATGAGGAGAAAGACTATTGGAAAATTCTGAACATCTTACAAATAATAATTTATTAAAGGTTTCGACAGCAGGCCATTGTATTCCAAAGGCTTATATTCCCTGACCACTGGCATGTGGCTACCTCTGAAAAGGGATGCAGCCGTTTTAAGAGCCAGGAACATTGGAAGGCGGGTTTTAGAATTGGAAAATAACTTACCCATCTGAAACAAGGGGAGAAATTTAGGTAAAGCAGAGTAATTACCCAGCTTGGAATCTGACCAAGAAACAAGGGCAAACACTGAAAAAGTGCCATACCACAGGAGTATTAAAATCCAAAGTAGTCTGGTCGTGATATTAGAGGTTATGTGTTTTTTGTGGATAACTCTGGAATTTGAACTAGAACCCAGTTTACAGCTCTCATTCAGAGTCTTTCATCAGTTTCTGATCTTGGAAACTCTGGACAAATGACTCATTCTTCTTGTGTCTCTCGTTTCTCAATTGATTTGCCAGAGAAATGCCTGCCTAATTTACATAAAGTATATTAGGATTATTGGAAGAAAATACATAAGGGGGTTTGCTATCTTGAAACATTGTATAAATCCACATCATCATGTTGTTTTATTGAAATATTGGCAGTAATTTGGCCTAAGCTAGTCCATGAATCCACTTAATATGGAAATGATTGTAGCACCTAAAGGATCTACATCCCTCACCTCTGGTCCAAGTTCTTCCTATGTCTAATTATATTTAGATGAACCAGCTAATCAACTTCCAAGCCCAGTTAAGGATAACTGCAGGCCAGTGGGACCATCACGTACATATATAGCAATCATATTCTTCCGGTTATAGAGTAGTGTTATAAATGCTACAGACTCTAATATTAAAAAAAATCAATGAATAGTTAAAAATATACTCACTACATGGAACATGGCCTTGGTAAAATGTTTTCAATTTGGGGGGCCTGCAAACAATTCTATGACTGTCTAGCAGTTCCTCAGCAATGATTTCAGAGCCACAGGACTGCAAAGGAGCCCAGGGCGATGATTATACATAAACTATATTTAGATGAAATGTTATCAAATCTAAAAAGGAGATATGTTCTGAACTCAGCTTAATTCACTGCACTCTGCCCTTCCACACAGTAACCAGTTATTACATTCATGGGGTTGTTAACAATAAAGCTTTGTGTAAAACGTGTTCTTCCACTATTTCTGGTAAACACTAAATACTCCTTATTAAGCCAAGGACTTTGGCTGATTCTCTTGGCATCAAATCATTAAATGTTCATGTAAATAGTGCATTAACATTTGATGATTAAACAAGTAACAAGCTATGCTTATGCCAAACTAATCTTTTGCTCTTTCTAAATTAGTTGTTAATACAGTGAGCTTCTTATATACAGTCTCATGTTTAGATATCAACTAAATCTTTCCCTAAGATGTATTAATATTTTAAACATGCAGTAAACTGTCTTATTGATTCATGGTCCTTTCTGCAAGAAATTATAAATCCTCTCAAAATATGCAATTCACTTATTTCATCATTTTGCCTGGGCAACGATGCAAGTCTTTGTGAAGGTAGAAATGTTTGTTTTGTTTTGTTTTGTTTTGTTTTGTTTGTTTCTGATGGAAAAAAATTTAGCATAAAAGTAAGCCAGCTGATCCACCATTGGCAATTGCTATTGAGATGGCTGTTGCCATTCCTGGTTTCACACAGTCATTGGTGTAAACTGCTTAGCTACTAGTACTATGTGAAAAGAAACAAACCACCTGAGAGGGAGTTCAAAGATTTGGAAATATCTTTTTAGAAATTTGGTGAGAAAGCTTAGCTGAAAATTATACTTTGATCATCAGTGTTTACTGTTTTTAGAAATGTGCTGTACTCTTGCGTGAACAATTTTAGTGTGACAAGGCACAAAGCCTTTACCATGTTATTATTACGTTGTTTTTGTTTCGATGCTGAATGATATTTTTAAACTGAAAGCACACATCACACTATGTGCTATTAGCGAATTTATTTTGTAATCTTATTGGGTCTCAGATGACTCAACTGAGAATAATGTGGAGATATTAAATTGAACGCCTCCATTATAAGCATCGCTGTTGCTGACTGCGGGTAGGTATTACTTACAGACATTAAGGATGAAGTTGGCTAATTAACCAGTAATGAAGTAAGTGAGCACACTATCAAGGCTGAGTACCTGAATGCCGATTAAAATGTCATCTGTGACTTGAGCCAGCACTGATTTCACATCTTCAATAGTGAAACCAACCAAAGCATCCGTGTCTGAAGTGCTGGCTTCTGGCTGGGGCTCCACAGGGCCTTGTTCTTGATCCAATCCCTAGAATATTGAAAGTAAACAAAGCTCAGGTGATATCTGAAGTATTCAGGGATTTCTATGTTGCCTTAAACTTCTCCTGGATACTTTTCTACCAGGAATAATGTCAACCTATTAGGAGATTGTAATTTGACATCATCCTGCATTTTAATTATTTATGAGTATGACAGATCAAGTCATGATGCTAACAGTGCTTACTTTTGGGAAAGTGAAGGTGGTGATTGGGAAAAATGGAGTGGAAAAGATTAAAACTGCTGAACCACCCTCAACTGGCCCACCTGTGAATCAATGGTTAAACAAATACATACATTTAGCTGGAAAAAATCAGAGTGAGAGAAAATAGAAGAGCAATTGCTTCCTTTCCTCCCACCCATAGAGAATACTATGCTGAGAGAAGGTGAATTAAGAGACAAAAGGAAACATACCTTCATTTCTGTATCCAATGTTGGGGGTGGCTCTATGAACATTGAGTAAATATCAAATGAGATTCCTTCTTCTAGAGGGTTGGGGAAAAAGCCACCTGAAGGCTTGACAACTTCTATCATTTGCTAAAGGGGAAGAAAAGAGCTATATTATGATAAAGCCTTTTGTGTGTGAACACAATTTACCATTTCAGCTTTGTATCAGATTGTTTGCATTTTCTTCTATCCACTGTCTAATTCTCTTTCTATACTATATGGTTTAGGACTTCATTTTGTACTTCTCTGAGCTTTTATTGTTCATGGGTCAGTGTTCCCTTCCTGCTGCCTACAAGCTCTCTGTACTTAGAGACAATGTCTTAGGTCCCCTATACATCTTCTTCAATTTTGGCAGAGGGTTATACGCCTAGAACATTCAAAAACAGCCTGATGGTGATCAATATTACTTGCCCAGGTATACAAATACCTATTCTTGGGGGCAATGTTAGAGTGGCCATCAAGAACTTGATAATGATCTTGATCCAATCTCTAAAGGTTAATGTATAAAACCAGCACACAGTAAATCAGAGATTCTTGCAAAATCAACCAGAAACACAGAGGACAAGGCAAAATTTCACTATGAGCATTTAATAATTCTGTGGCAAGAGTGAGTCAGAGGAAGGGTGATGCTGGTTGGTTATCTGTGGAAATGAAGAAACGAGGAAAAGAAGTCAACGTAAGTGGTGTCCATCTCACCACAGAAAGAGAGAAGATTGTGCTGATGCCATTAAACATCTAAATCATTTTATTAGCTCCTCTCATTCTGATTTCACTTTGAACAAACATTTTGATCATAATTTGACTATCCATCTCTCGACTGATCTGTAAAGATATGTCCACTTCAGTGCTCTGATTATCAAGCTTATTGCAGCCCTTACTGTACATCTACAAACTTGTGTTCTAGTTCATACAGGAAGCTCCATGAATCTGCTTTTGTGGTCTGAGATGAAGACACCAAGTGTATGCTGGCAAAGTCAACTCTGAGCCTACAAGTTTGAAGACAATATTCTGAAAATGTAGACATTCAAATAATTGCCATCCCATGAGGCCTGGAAAAACTGTGAAATCATCATACATTCATTTCTAATTTCACATAAACTTACATATTATAATATTTCATCATTTAAATGTTAATATTTATTTTTACTTAGATAAGTTTTGAAGTGTACTAGAGGCTAAGTTATTGCTCAGTCATATCAATGTATTTTACATTGAATTCATATTTTTTATTTCATTTTTAAAGAATATGTAATGTTATTTATTATTATTTTTTTAAGATTTTATGTATTTATTTAATTTTAGACAGAGAGGAAGGGAGGGAGAAAGAGAGGGAGAGAAACATCAATGTGTGGTTGCTTCTCGGGCGCCCCCTATGGGGGACCTGGCCTACAATGCAGGCATGTGCCCTGACTGGGAATCGAACCAGCAGCGCTTTGGTTTGCAGGCTGGCACTCAATCCACTGAGCCACACCAGCCACGGCCATATTTTTCATTTTCATTTGATTTTATAGAAAGTTGTTGCTGAGTATACATATATAGAAGAACTGAAGTATCCTAACTTTACAGTCAAGTAAATTTAGAAACCAAGAGATTAAATAACTGGCTTAGACAAATAATTACTTAGTGACAGGTCTGGGAGTTAAACCCTGGTGTGCCAACTCCTTGGCCTCTCCAGTTTTCAGTAAACTGTAATATGTCATCATGTTGCCATACTTGGAAATTATTGATATTATTAAGCACTTAATCTCTATTCTGTTAGATGACATCATGCCAGATTGTTTATCTTAAGTTGACTAAATACTAATCAAAATAGAATATCAAGAAACACATCAGAATAGTTCTTTTCTCTCATCACATTCATAAGCCACTGTTTTTCTTCCTCAATGGGACATACAAGCATTTGCAGCATCCGACAAAATTGTTTGCACCTTTTTTCCACCATGCTTGTTTCTTCCTCTTCCACTTTATCTTGCTCTTTATCTTACCAAGCGAGGAAAATGAAATAGCTAACCACATTTTAATGTCCTCTGCAACATTATAGGTAAAATAAATAAGCTGCACATGAGAATACAGAGACAAGGGAAGATGATGAGTGGTATAGACTGTAATATAGGGTGGGAAATAGAAATTTAGGGGGAGTCGTGGTGAGAGACACATTGAAAAAAGAAGAGAGAAAGGAACTGAACGGAGGTTCCTGAATTTACTGCAGGCACTGAGCGAGCAAGCATGAGCTGATCTACAAGGAACAAGTATATCCTCTTAATGAAGCCAAATTTCCTTTGTTGCTCTCGCCGCATTTGTCTTGCTGCTGTGCTTTTCCATGCACAGGCGGGGCCTTTCTACTACTTTTCTCTCACCTCTTGGAGGAAGTTCTTAATAGATTCCCTCTGCATCCTGCCAGGAGCGGATTATACCATCTGCCCATCTGCCTGGGCCCCATCTTCCATCAGATCATATGTGTAAGTGTAAACAGATAGTTGTGCTCAAATCTCTTATTTTACCCTGCATACCCCTGTGGGCTGGATTTCTTTATAAGGCTACGCTAAACTGCTTGCAGTCACCCAGTTTTCCTAGTCCTTGGCCCTGGGGTGTGTCTGTGCACTTGGGCACACACTCGGAAACTCGGAACTCCTCATTCAGGTCCACATCACTTCTTTGGTGAAATGAAGCTCCATTTATCCCCCAAACCTGACACTCCGACTGAGAGTCAGCTTTTCTTTTCCTTGACTTTTATGCATTGAGCTCATACAGCTAGCCACTTGATTTAATTTGTGCACAAAGCTGGGGGTGACCATTTCTTTTCTTCAGGGTGTTTCGCATACACTCAGTGAGCCACACCGTAGCTATTTTCTTTTTCGTGAAGAGCTACATTTGGCTGGTTTAGTAAGATACTGCAAGGGAAAAAAAGTACCCTAATTGCAGATGTGAGTAAATGTAAAGTCATTTCACTAATAATATGAAGGTATATAGTCAAATATATAGATTGAAATAAACACAGTTCCCAGAAGCATAACAGTAATTTTTTTCCTGATTAAGTAGCATTTTTAAAAAACAAGTTTAAGAAAAATTAGAATCAATAATTGTGGTGAGAGCACAGAGCCAGCAAATATGTTTAAATGAAACCGTCTGATGCAATACTTTCTTTAAAAAAAATACAATTAGGCCTTTGTATTTTTTTTAACAAAACCTCATGTTTTACAACATTACTGGTTCTGTAATAAAATCTATTTAAAACAGAGAGACATGGTCAGCTTTATTAAGTTAGATTTTCTGAAAGAACGTTATAATTTCCTCAAGTCTATGAATAGTTGAAGCAAATTAAATAAAGCTAGTTTTATAACTATTTTTATATATTCTTGTAGAATTGTAATTGTCTCATATTTTTTTCCTCAAAAGTCTAATATGTTACCTTTTAAATCTAGAAAAATAAAAACAGAAAAAGGATCAAGTATGTTTATTAAAAAAAACACTCCCATTTGGTACCCTGATTTAGCAACTCCCCCCTTCTATAAGAGAATAGTACCCATAATCTTCAGATCAAGAAACAAAGGGAAAGACTTTAAGTGAGTTGCCTGAGGCCTAATGCTGAGATTAAAACTCAGGAGTTTCTGATTATACACATACATCCATTTGGCCAAATGATTGGTTTTGCTTGACTTTCAAATACCCCCTAAATATTACTTTGAATGTAAAGCAATAAATGTGTTTCTCTTGCCATTTTTGAATGCTTGCACACAAATGGATATAATAAAAACAATCATGTTGTTCCATGTGAATGCCGTTTATATTTTTTCAGATAATGAGCAGACCATTTGAACCAAGGTGAGTACATTAAAAGCTCTAATAAAGAAGAGAATAGATTTCTAAACTGAATAATTGACTGTTAAGGGAACATACAATAAATAACATCTACAGATGTGGTCGCTAGAAAATTAGTTTTAGATAAGTTACCGATAAACCTTTCCCCCAGATGTTATCTGTTACATGAAAATTACCTTAATTTAGTTATATTGTTCATTATGTGTACATTTCATTAGTGTTATTTAAGATAGTTTACAGTCTGAGCTTTAGCTGAAACATGCTATGGTATTTAAAGAATATCAAGTAAAAGGATTTTTGGCATGATTTAATACCCATAAGAACAAAGTTTCATCATCAACCATTATGTAGCTTTAAAAAAATCCAAGATCTTTACTTACCAGCCAAATAAAATCACTAGAAATCTTTCAAGAATTTATATCTTCAATATGAAATGGACCTCTATCATGGGAATAAATGATAAGAATTTTGAACCCTCCTGGAACTAAGTATAGGGGCAGTCCAGGTCTAAAAACATATAGGAATTAAGATCTGCTTTCAGATCTCACTGTGTCTAAGAACTGTAAAGATTTTATCTGAAAGATATGTTACTTCATGCTTTCTTTCTCTACTTTATATGAGAACATTATTAATACTATTAACTCTGATTTATTGTTATTTGTTTTTTGTTATTGTTTGTTTCTGTTTATTGCTATTTATCTCATTTGTTTATTATGTTATCTGGAGGAAGTACAGGTGATTTGTGGGTAGTGTTTTTACTGCAGAAATCTATGATTAAAGTGTCAATTACTAAATTATTCAAGACATTAAAAATGTCATTGAGATGACAACTTTCCGCTGTTGTGAATGGCAGACAGCAAGATAAATCTGTTAAGCCCTTTTGGAGCTGCAGGAACACATACAAAACTCTGGTTTGCTTTAAAAAGACATTTGTTTGGAATTGTCAAAAGATGACTTCATATGTAAATCAGAACTTACTAAAAAATGTCAAAGTTTCAAAAAGTAAACTTTATTGCAAACTTTTCCCACTACTAAGGAAAAAAGGCACAACATTCCTGCAATGTTTTAAGTATTTTTCCCCCTACAAGAGAAAGTCATTGCTGATTTGCAAGTCTAATTAAGAAGTACTTGAGTGGTTCTGGAAATTTTTAACAAAAAATTGTAATCCATTGCCCATAATATACCGCATGTAAAGTAACAACGTATGAATGCCACCTGCGAAATGCAGTAAACTCTGGTAATGTCATACCGAGGCCATAAATTTAAAATCA